TCGCGCCAGGGGCAATTTCGTTATTTGTCGCGACGGTGTCAGAATGGGCTAAAATTTGGTAGGTTGACTGGAAAAAAAATTGCTCTAGGGGCAATTTTGTCATTTGTTGCGACGGTGTCAGAATGGGCTGAAATTTGACAGGTCGATTGGAAACAAAAATCGCGCCAGGGGCAATTTCGTCATTTGTCGCGATGGTATCGGAATGGGCTGAAATTTGGCAGGTCGATTGAAAAAAAAATAGCGCCAGGGGCAATTTCGTCATTCGTCGTGATGGTGTCGGAATGGGCTGAAATTTGGCAGGTTGATTGGAAACAAAAATTGCGCCAGAGGCAATTTCGTCATTTGTCACGACAGTGTTGGAATGGGCCGAAATTTGACAGATTGATTGAAAACAAAAACCGTGCCAAGGGCAATTTCGTCATTTGTCACGACAGTGTTGGAATATGCAAAAATTTGGCAGGTTGATTGGAAACAAAAACCGCGCCAGGGGCAATTTCGTCATTTGTCGTGACGGTGTTGGAATGGGCCGAAATTTGGCAGGTTGATCGGAAACAAAAATCGCGTCAGAGGCAATTTCGTCGTTTGTCGCAACGGTGTCGGAATGGGCTGAAATAATGCAGGTTGATTGGAAACAAAAATCGCGTCAGGGACAATTTCATCATTTGTCACGACGGTGTCGGAATGGGCCAAAATTTGGCAAGTTGATTGGAAACGAAAACTGCGCTAGGGGCAATTTCGTCATTTTGTCGTGACGGTGTCGGAATGAGCCGAAATTTAGCAGGTCGATTGGAAACAAAAACCACACCAAGGATAAATATGTGTTTATATGTGGTTGTTTCTTTTGCTATGTGACATTGTAGTATGTTACATGTGCATTGAGTTTATTTGGAAAATGTAAGAATAATTGCGTTTTCAAGATCATGCATACTTTTGTTGTCATGCTAATTGAGTTGCAGTTGAAAATTTTGAATGTGAATCCCATTATAGATGTACTGTACTATTGTGTCTGAATAACTGTACAGCTTTGAGGCTCTTGGCGATCATTAAGGACAGCCAAGAATAGGGTGTTGGGGGTTCGAAACCTGTATACAGACAGTGCCAAGAGGTCCCTTGGTGGCCTTGGGACTGCGACACCTTGAGCACTGTATATGTGTAGGCCAGGCCTTGATTTTGTATGTGTGATATAATGATGTGGTATGCTGAGTCTCGGTGGGCAACGACGGATGCATTGATATTGGTTTGCGCGCAGGAAAAAGAACATGTTATTCTGAGCTCATACGGTACACTATAATAGGGATTTGGGCCCATGTATGTTTGAAATGCATCGTTACATCACCATATTTACTGAACTTTGTGGTTCACGTTTTGTATTTTGTACTGTAGATGTCACCGAGAGAGACTAAAATTGTCCGAACCACCAGACATGCCGAAATTACTGGGGACCTCAGTGTTATACATGTTATATATAGACGTATCCACTATACTCATTTTTATACGGAGATTGATGAAGAAGAAGAGATCGAAACTTTAGAAGACAGGGATGATTTTGTAATAGTAATGATTGATGTTTACGACTTAGTTACTTGTTGTTATGTAAATACTATAATGTATGTGGAGTAAACAGTAAGTGGTATTGTGTAAAATAGGAAAATGATGCCTAGTAAAAGATGGTAGTAAAAATGAAAGAATTTTGACAGTCTTTGATATACTGTCATATCTGCGTGCTGTAAAATAGATTTATAGGAAACTCTTGAAAAATCTGCAGGTAGTCCTCTTGATCAACAATTTTTGATAGTCATATGACTAAGGTGTAATGAGGTGTATTTTGTAAAACAAAATTCTCTTTTGATATAATATAAACTTGGCGGTTATTTTAACTCTTTATATTTTGAAATTTGATTTCCTTGATATGTTTTGATTTTGCTGTAAAATTTTTAATATGATTTTAATCTAAGAATAAAAATAAATAAATTAGGGAAATTAAGAGTAGTGCATCACAACCACGGTATTCCTCCACCACAAGTGAGGGAAAATTAATAAAATTTCGGAGATACCGCCCTCCTTTAACCGGAAAAAAAAAAAAAAGAAAAAGGAAAAAATCACCTTGAGGTGGTAGGCTACTCATATTCAAATTTTGTATGATGTCAAGATGATTTGAAATCAACCTCAGATTATATTTTCACGTTAGTTGGTGGTGCTATCTCTTAAAAAAGTGTTAAGCAGACTCTAGTGTCATCTTATACTATGCAGGTTGAATTTGTGGCTTATTATGGAGCTACAGTCCAAGTCCTTTGGCTAAGAATTTTCATTTCTGGGTTGAAAGTTATTGATTCCATCTCGATGCCAATTACAATTTATTGTAACAATAGTGAAGCAGTGTTCTTTTCAATGAAAAATAAAAGTTCTAGGGGTCAAAATACATTGATATCAAATATTTGGTTATTAAAGATGGAGTTAAGTAAGAGAAGACAAAAATGGAGCACATCAATATAGAGGCGATCATTGTAGATCGTTTGACTAAGGGACTTGCCCCAAAAGTTTTTAAGACACATATTGCTAATATGGGTATTGTGGAAACATTTGATCTTTTTGGTTCATGAGAGTTATTTATGTAAAAAAATTATGTTTTGGCTTAATCCCTTCACTGGGTATGTACATGCATTTGGCTTATGTTTTTTTATTGTGATATTATTATGATCTCAATATATAACGGATAAAAACATAAGGTGAGTCTCTTTTAGAGATATGTGACTTCATTTTGATTTGAAGCATTATGAGGACCGATATGAATTAACACAATTTTTTTATCACATTTGATGCTAAGTTCATACCATATTAGTTGGAGGATGGTAGGCAAATGTTAGAATAAATTTTGAATTATGGGCTTCCCATTTGATTATAAAATTTTACGGGTTAGATGTATGACTCATAATGATACTGTGATTAAACACAATATGTTAAGTGATCATCTGTGCCGTTTTACACCTTTCAGGTTATATTTTATATAATGTGGTAATTTAAGTATGTGGGCTAGAAGTACTTAAAACCTTAATTAGAGTTTAAGTCGTTAATGTGATAGCTCAATAAAATTCTATATAAAGGCTAAATCCCTTTCCTCTTCATTTTATTTTATTGGCTTGCTCCTTTGATTGCTAATATTTTGTGAGGAGTAGGGAGTGGAAGATCTAGCTATTAATATTTATATCTACGATGCTTCCACAAATATGAATCTTAAACTGTCAATATATAATTGTGATTCTTGTTTTTTAGCATGATTATTGTTAAATTCAACACATAGACGATCTCAAATATGACTTTATCAACCTTAATTTTGAAAACTCATCCCTGTAGAACAAATCCAGTTAACAATATTCTATATTCAATGTATGCATTTGAAAATAATCTGCTCTTTTTATATAATAAAAAAAATTCACAAGGCTAAGAGACCGTTTTCGAAGTTAGCAAATATATAGATATATAAAAAAAAATTTAAAAAATAAAAATAATAAATTGCAAACTTGATATCTATTGGTCTAAATTAATTTTTTCTTACACCTCACTCACGAGTAAACTGTGAAATTACGTGCTAAGCAAGCAACTAAAAATCAAGAATATGTTTCCCATGCTTGATCCGTGATTGCTTTCTTCTTGCGCTCCATGTCTTAATTTCTTCTTTGTCCTGCAAACACTGTGACGACCATTAAAAGTTGCCTAATACTTTTGAATTTTTTAATATAATTCAGAAACCTTGAGGAAACTTTTGATCAAAATATTTGAGTTGGATTATGAATTGCACATTATTATGGACTTTTCATAGGCTTCAACTAAGAACTAAATTCTCTGTTACAACAAATAAATTACATAATATGCGGCTTTCTCTGTAACTTTTTCCAAAAATAGCATCTCTAATTGCTATGCCGTGTCATGTCGTGTTTCGTTTTCTCGTTTCCAAGAAGAAAATGCATGGAGAGATGACACATACCTAGGAATCAAAGGCCTTCTCTGCAGCACTGGACACAGAGTGGTGGCTGTTTTCTTATATCACAGTAACAACAAGCTATATCGCAATTATTATTACAACCTATGGATGAGATAGACAACATAGTAAGTTCCCTTCGTCATCCTACTTATTCTTGCTAGTCATTTGATATAAAGATTTCAAGATAGAAAACTGAAATCTAGTCTAAAAGGGAAAGGTGGAGCATCTTAACCTGTTACGGTGACATATTGATATGATTCCAGAGTTTGAGGATTTATCAGAAATGGGTGACGAGTACTGGCTTGAATACCGTTGCATGTGAGATGAATAAAGACCATGAATATTACCAAACGAGCCACTCCCAACTTCATTGTTTTAGTTACAAAGAAGCTAAGGAAGTTACGAAGGAAGCTTCGGGCTTGAATTGGTCTGTCTACTAACTTTGATGCTCAATTTGCTTCTTGGTTTGGTGGAGATTTCTCATGCTGTTCATACTTATATAGGATTTTCTTAAGATTTTAGATAAATATGTGCCAACTCCTTCGACGTGAGCCAAAAACTATATATATGAATATGATTTCTATTATATGTACCTGTTACTTTCAACGGGTCATCCAGAAACTGTGTAAATATAAGAATTGGCAAATTCCAAATGCATTTGCATTGAGGGCATATACTTAAAAGGGTCATACTCACCGTATGACACAAGGGAATGCCTATGGTAGTTTTTCACCTTTAGTAGGTGTTCGATGTTCCCATAAAAACTCTCGATTTCCAGAAGTAGATGTGCAAAGCATACCGAATAGACCTTCTTTTAAGATGGTCAGGAATGGGTTCGACAGTGCCGAACAGGGAAAAGAGCCTACGAATGTCAACTGTGCCAGCAACTCTCTAAGGATGGCATAATCCTACGAAAATACGTGTTGGCAAGAGGACACAATGTGACAACTCAAAAGTTTAAGCCATGAGAACATTATCAGTGTGATTTTTCTGTTACAACTTTTAAACAATAACATTTAAATGTCAAATAAGCAGAGAATGTTTTCACTGAATTATACCAAAAGAAACTAACAAACAATCCAACTGAAATTACATCGATGAATCGCTAATAAGTGAAGTATTTATACGCGATAGCTCTTGAAATGTTATTTTTAGAACAATGACCTTAAACTAAGGTACACGACGGATATGAAAGACTTATAAAATTACATCAAGTGCATACATTATTTCCCCGTGAAACTCAACCGGCCCTTCAACATAATTGTGAAGAAAGATATATGTACATCATATGTTTCCCAGGAACTCAAGGAGTAGTCATCTCGAGTTTCTTGATATTCTGGATTTGCTTCCCGGGATTCAGTCCCTTTGGGCAAGCTTTAGCACAATTCAGAATTGTGTGGCAGCGATATAGCTTGAACTCATCATTTATTGCTTCAAGGCGCTCCTCTGTATATTCATCACGACTGTCCATTATCCATCTGATTGATTGGCAGCCACAGTCAAAGAAAAAAGGGGTCAATTAGAGAAAATTGCAGGATAATTACATTGTAGGCACTAGTAAACATCATACCAGTTCAATCACCCATAGTGCAAAATTTTGTTGTGTTTCCATTTTTTTTTCTTTTGTTTTGTGGGATTGAGGGACAGAAGCAAAGGGAGTTGGATAAGTAGAGATGCAAAATAAGCTGACTGGGCCATTACGTGATCCTTAGTAGATCGAGACACCAAACAGAAAGAAATAATAACCAATGTATATATCAGGCATTTTGTACTACAAACTCAGTGCAGTCAACAAAAAGCACACAGTTTATAGACTTCTGATTTCAAAACCGTATGATGAAGAATTAGTAACAGCACAAGGCACAAAACTGGGAAGGAAACCCGATCCCAACTTAGAATGGCCCCATCAATTTTTGAGTCCTTATCATTGTTCACGAAGACATCATTGTTTCAACAGAAGTTCCAGAAATTTTTACTCATCGTAACACTCAAATAATTTTTACCAACATTATAGCGAAGCATTAAAGTACCACAATTTTAAACCAAACTCAAATCTTCTTTCATTCATTTCGATAGTTTCACTTCATCTTGAATCCTACTTGTAATTTCTCAATGCTAAAAAAGAATCCTACATGGCTCACTTCTCTCTCAAGCCAGCTATTAAATGCTTCGTATATATGGTACAGATGTTCAATAGAAACAATAACTTGTTCTAAAACAAGAAAAAAATAGTAAACTCCTCTGACAGGTTGTTTATAACTTACTTATAAACATGTCAAACAAAAGATAATTCAACAGAGGAATTTCAAGATAACCTTAAATCTTTCATATTTTTAAACCAAAAACTCTTAATGAAATGAGTTAAATTCAAGCCTTGATTATGTAATTTTTCTCTTTTATTCTTCATCATGGCAAATAAACAATTTTTGGAACAAGCTATTCATGGCATGTTTTTGGTAATGGCTTGTTCTAATACGAGAAAAATATTGTAAAATCCTGACAGGGTTAGTTATAACATATCAAACAAAAGATAATTCAGAGAGGAATTTAAAGACAAACTTAAATCTTGCATATTTTTTAACCAAAAAATCTTAATGAATCGAGTTAAATTCAAGCCTTGATTACCTAAGCTCTCTCTCTCTCTCTCTCTCTCTCTCTTATTCTTCATTAGGGCAACTATACATTTTCTGAACCAGCTATTCATGGCAAATTTTTTGGTAATGGCTAGATCAGTACGTTACATTAGATTGAACTAAATAGGATTAATGAAGAAAACAATCAATTTTGATCAATAAAAAGAATTCTTATTTAATTTACTTCATTTCTCGAATAAACTTTTTAAGCTCAGAAAAACATACCCTCTGTCAAAACCTTCCTACATATGACAATCCATCCTACAAAAGACTCAGCTACCAATAAATTTCTCTCTTGACCAAGAATTCGTAAAAGGGAAAAAAACTGTTACCGGTTGGCATGAAGGAGGGAAGCCGGACCGAGGTAGGACTCGGGGTTCCACCAGTAGCTCGGACATGACGTGCTGCAGCAGGCACACATAATGCACTCATACATACCATCAAGCTTCTTCCTGTCCTCCTTGCTCTGCAAAATCTCCTTCCCCGGAGTCTGCGGTGGGTTCTTCCTCTTCAGCCACGGCTCAATCGACTTATACTGGTTGTAAAAATTTGTCATATCAACCACAAGATCCTTAATAACAAACATGTGCGGCAAGGGATTAATCATGGAGGATGATCCCGACGAGATTTTTGTCAGACAAGCCAGTCCATTCCCTCCATCAATGTTCATCGCGCACGATCCGCATATACCCTCACGGCAGGAGCGGCGGAAGGTCAGAGTTGGATCAATCTCGTTCTTGATCTTGATTAAGGCGTCCAATACCATGGGTCCACATTCCTTAAGATCAATTTTGTACTCCTTCAGCTTGGGTTTATCCTGATTGTCTGGGCTCCAGCGGTAGATTTGGAAGGTCTTCAGGTTGCTGTCGTGTTTGGACTCGGGATCCGCCGCGGATGCATAAGCGCGGTTTAGTATCATTCTCGTTGCCAGAGGTCTCGCTGGAACCCTAGTTATCGCTCGTCGTAGCAATCCCGTAGCCATTGGTGGTGAATTGGTGGAATAACGGAATTGGGTCTGCGTTTATATATAAAGGCGTTAGGCGGTAAATGAAAGGTACGGTCCGCAGAAGGGTGGTTTGAGCAAAGTAATGACGTGGTAGAATTGAACGGTGGGGACGAAATGAAGTAACGTGGTTGGCTCGTGGAGCATATATATTTTAATTTTGTGAGGAGTGAAACGTCGCCGTTCAGTATCGTATTTGATTTTGATTCCTCCTATGAAATGTATAATGTGAACATAAGACCGCCTCCCGGCCGACCCGACCCGACCCGACCTAGCATCATGCCAGTTGCAGCGGGCCGAAACCTTTGGACCAGTGGTTCTTGGCTCCTTGGAGGCGAGGCTAACATGCAGGCCAAATTTTAATAGCTGGACCACCCTGTTTGCAATCGACTCAACTCATTTTGTTCATTTTATTTTATTTTATTTATTTATAGAAACTAAAGTGAAAGAGTTTTTCCATTGTGACAAAACCCCGGACGTCTCATCCAAGAATAATTCAAAGTAAAATTACTTTCATTTTATTTATTGAATATTTTTATTTGTGTTTAGAAAAGTATATTAAATTCAGACGAAATTATTAAATAAGATAAAATAATTTTATTATTTAACATCAAATATGTACTTAATGAAATTCTAAGCTAATATGTACTTAATGAAATTCTAAGCTAACTTTTAGATATGGGACGGATTACAATCAACCCTCTTATGGTTCTGAATACACTTAACTCTTCGCATGTAACCATAAAATTTAGAATAATTCTAATTTTCCATAAAGAGTTATAAAAAGTTTCACAGATAAATAAGTTATCAAAAGGAGAGTAGAGATTTTTCTTTTTCCTTTTTTATTTGGTTGAAGAAATTTTGATCAATCATATCTTACCATATCATGAATCTAAAAGTTTTAATGTACATATAGCATAACAACGAAATTTAATAATTTTATCCTTCACTACTAAGTCGCAATTCAACATGTGTCGTTAAGCCCCCAGGGCACATCTCCAAGTGTTAAAAGGGGAGGGTGGAGAAATCCAGCTTTGTTTGAGGCTGCCGCGTCAAGGGTTCGAATCCTGAAATATGGATTTGGCTTTTGGGTAAGTGTAAGTGTACAAACAGCCTTCCACCCTGTACCCTTGGAGGCATAACCTGCGATTTACCTCCCTCACGATACTCCAGGGTAGGAGCAGTGGGAGACCCTTAAGGTTGAGGTTTAACCTTTAACATGTGTCGTTAATTTTAGTTCATATCACCCATATCTTTGTTGTCAAC